GGCGCGGGGGGCTCCCGGCGGGCAGGCGCATCCCCGGCTGCTTCTAAATTCATCCGCTGTACAAATCCCACGTAAATCCCGGGTTTAACCTATAGACTTAAACCCCACCGCACGCGTGGGGCAAAACCCCCGAGCTCCGAAGGGGAGCAATCGTTCCTTTTTTCCCCGGGATGAGTGAAAGGATAACCCATCCCTTCCTCTCTGCCGCCAAATCTCGCACCCCAAGTCCCTGCCTGAGATTTGGGGGGGTTGCAGCCCATCTTTCCACCGCTCCCATCCCCGCAGGGTCCCGCTTGGCAAAAGCGGGAAGCTTCTGCTGTGCACTGAGAGGTTAAGCGGGGACTAAAAATAGTCTAGAGCAGAGCCGAGCCTTTGTGTGCCAGAAATTCCGGGCAGGAGAGGAGCAAAGTGGGGACTGACCGGGACCGGTGGGTGAGGGCTTCTTGTCTCTGGACCAGCAGATGTTTTCTTTACACCTCCGCCCATCTCGGGGTGATAATTCAGCAGCTGGGAATCTGGGTGTTATGGAAAAGCAGCGTTTTGGCGGTGTGATAGCACGTATTAAACGGGGAACGGGTGACGTATGGTCCCCGGGGTCCCGCTGCAATACGGGATTTAATTATTCCTTGGGTTTCTGGAGGGTTCAGCCCTTGCCGTTCATGAGGACGTCCCTCTTTGTGGGGTTCCTTATATCCCAACTTGTGATGAAAGCTCGGGTCCGGGACAGAGCCCATCCTTTGGCTGGGCTCACACCACAGCAATGGGGAAACTGAGTCATGGAAAGGCGAGACACCCACTGAAAGATTCCCAACTGCAGGAGGGTGGGGGGCACAGGCGCACCCTCTCTGTGGCACCTCTGAGAGTGATCTGTCAGGACTTGTAGGCCATGAGACCTATAAAATATAATTTATTTTAGCATCACCAGGAAAAGGAAAAGAGCTCCAAGAGTGAGCGTGAGGGAGATGAGTCACGGTTTCCCGTGCCAGGGCAGCTGAGCGATGCCCTGTCGCCCTCTCCCACCTCGGCTACCTCCCTTCCCAGCTGCCTGGGGTTTGGCACGGGGCTGGCTCTGAGCGCAGATGCTTGGGAAAAGGCGAGAGTCGGGGATCTGGTTAAAGAAAAAAAGCTGGATAATTTATTTTCCCCAAAGGAGCCTCGGCCTCGGGAGGGAAGGAGCAGAGATGCTCCCTCAGCGTGCTTGGGCAGAGCTGTGCCTCAGTTTCCCCCCGTGGGAGCTGAGCTGCACAGCAGTTCAGGGCTGCCATTTCCCCAGTTAAAAGGGGTTTAAGGAGGAAGGCACTGGCAGCTAAAGTTGTTCCCACTGCACCCCAGGAAACTGGTGCTGTGACACTGATTTGCTGCGAATATGGCCGTTGCACCGAAAACCGTTGGCGCCAATGGCTCCAGGCAGAGCAGCAGGGGCCCTGGGATGTGCCGGGGCAGGGGTGGGACACAGCAGCAGTGACGCTGGCTGCGATATCTGGGGCTCATTTATGCTTCGAGGGAGGGACACGGGTCACGCGGGGCCTGGCGAGCTCCTGGCACAGCTGGGGAGGGATGCTTGGGAAGCGA